CCAGCATGCAGGAGAGAGGAAAAAGACTGACAGGGCGACCGCGGAGGAGGAAGGAGGGGGCACTCAGAGGCGGAAGACTTCCGACCTGAGCGCGCTGGCGCGGCCAGCCTCGTCAGCGGGGACCGTGGCAGCTGCCAGGCCGCGGCGTCGGGGCACCCACGGGCGATGACGAGGCCCAGTACGTGAAATCAAAAGGTACCCGCAGTGACGCCGTCGGTGAAGTAGGACTAGATCCTTGCACGTCAGAAAAAGCGCAGCTAGGCCGCCCAGGTGGAGATCCTGCTCCCGGCGGGTCTACGAGTCTGCGGGTCAGGGGAGGCGCGGCCGAGCTGGGAAATCTTCATGGAAAGAGCTTGCGCGTCCAGCCCCTCCCGCGACTGAGGAACGCTTGGCTTGGGCCTTGCACCTCGGGAGACTAAGGTACCTACTACACCGCTACTCCCTGGACCTCTCAAAGGGGTGCGTCCTGGCCAGAATTTCGATGCCGACGAGGGCGAAAGCGGGCGGCGAAGGGTAGCAATATGGTTACCGTTTCACCTTTTCCTCCTCTGACGCTTGGCACCTCTTCGTCGTCGTCGTCCGGCTGGCGATGCGCCCCCCAACGGCGCTCGGCCCGAAAAGGCTGCCCCCGCGGTCCCGCTCTGAGGGGCCGTGGCGGTCCCCCAGAGCCGTGCTGCCGCCGTGCTGCCGCCGTGCTGCCGTGCCTACTCGCCCTCTCCGTCGTGTTTTCCCGCGTACCCGCGCGTCCAGGGCTGGCGAGCTCCTTCGTCGCGCACTGCCCAGGCTCGAGCAGACGACGACGACGACGACGACGACGACGACGACGACGACGACGACGGCGACGACGGCGACGACGATGGCGGCGGCGTCGGCGGCGGAAGCGGCGATTACCTCTCCCCTCGCTCGCGTCTCTTCTTCCGCCTCCTCCTCCGCCTCCTCCTCCTCAACCTCCTCCTCCTCCTCCTCCTCGCGCTCGAAACACCGCAGAAGGACTCGCGGTCGGTCGTCGGGGGCCGAACCGATCCAGGCTCTGCAGTGAGGAGCCTCGAAGAAGGAACGAAGCCCCTGTGAAGCCTTTCTCTCCGCAATTGGGCCCCCTTGTGCTGTAAAGGTCGGGGCTCAGACCAGGTCTGGACTCGGTGATTTACAGCTGCATGAGCACGCTCTCCCTCATCCTTTCTTCCTCCTCTGCCCTCCCCTCTGTCTCGCCCACCCTGTTTGACACGTCCTCGGCGGCACGCTTCGGGAGGCAACCTCAAGGGCATCAGGCTTGCTTCGATTTGCCGCAGGAGCAGGCTGAGGGAGGAGGGGGAGAGGCCATAGGGAAGGGCGGAGGGAAACGAAGGGACGAAGGAGGAGCGAGCGGCCACGCCACGGCAATTCGAACTCTCGCGGACCGCGGAGGGCGAAGGTCCGACACGGGGGGGAACGGAAGGTGCAGGAAGTTTCGGGCCTCGTTCGCGCCCCGGGGCACGACGACCGCGAGGGGGGGGAGCATGGAAGGACCTGAACCGAGCATCGAGTCACTTCCGAAACCAAAGATGGCCGTACCACAACGTTTTCACTGCAATTGCAGGGTGAGGGAAGAGAGAGGAGGAACGATGAGGAGGAGGAGGAGGAGGAGGAGGAGGAGGAGGAGGAGAAGGGCAATAGGTCGGCTGCCAAATGCTCGCCACATGATTCCAGCTCTGCCCATGAAAGACAAGGAGGAACGGACGATGTTAAATAGCGGATTAGTAGCATCTAACGGGCTTGGGGGAACTCTGGGGATTTCCGGCGGGGGGGGGCCTAGGCGGGATCCGTTCTTGCGTCTTGTGGTTGCCATCCGAAGCCGATCGGAGCCCAGACCGCACACCCGCACCTAGAGAGCAGTGTGCACATCAATGCGCCGCTCACACTTCACCCCTCCTGCTGCTGCGGCGCCGCTGGCGCGACTCCTCTCCCCGAGCCCCGATGCCCACACTCGCGGCCGCGCGTGCGGTCGCGCGCCGAGCCCCGAGGCTCTGCCACCCCCGACGCAGGGGGGAGGGGAGGGGGGAAGGGAGAGGCCCTGCCGACCAGAAATGCTGCTGTAAACCCGGAAAGTGAAAAGCAGGGAAAGGAGGGGGGGAGGGCAGCGGGCGGGTGCACGCCAACATGGATGAGCATCTGTGGATCTGGCGCGGGGGCGCCAGATCCACGGATCGGGGATGTCCAGGATGGTGCCCCCCCCCCGCCCCCCGAAACGCGAGGCCAGCGCCCCCCGATGTGGCGACGGAGCGCGCCGAGTCTGCACGGAAGCGGGATCCGCCGCACCCTCAATTCATGTTTGCGCTCCCTCGAAGGGTGGGCAGAGCGGCGGGGCCGCTCAGAGAGCACACCCTGCACTTGCCCGCCGCCCCCCCCCCCCTCGACTACACGCAAGAGTGACCCTGGGTAAGAGTGGCCTTTGGTGAGCGGCTTCTTGGGCGGTCGCCAGGGGGCCAACACACAAGCGCGCAAGACGCCACTGCCGCCTCGCGTTCGGCGATCGGGGGACCCCAGTGGGCCCGCACCAAAGGTCACTGCGGCGACGTGTCACTCTTACGAGCGCGCTGGCGAGCTCGGGGCCCTCCACCTGGGAGCGGGGGTGCTCGCCCGCCCTCCTCCGCGTCTTCCTTCGGCCCTCCTCGTCGTCGTAGACGTCGTCGACGGCGCCATTGTCGTCGCTGGCCTCCTCCCTCCTCCCTCCTCCTCCCTCCTCCCTCCTCCCTCCCTCCCTCCTCCCTCCTCCTCCCTCCTCCTCTCCTCCCTCCTCCTCCTCCGCCTCCTCTCCTCCTCCCTCCTCCTCTCCTCCTCCTCCTCCTCCTCCTCCTCCTCCTCCACTCCTCCTCCTCCTCCTCCTCCTCCCTCCTCCTCCTCCTCCTCCTCCTCCTCCTCCTCCTCCTCCTCCTCCTCCTCCTCCTCCTCCCTCCTCCTCCCTCCTCCTCCTCCTCCTCCTCCTCCTCCTCCTCCTCCTCCTCCTCCTCCTCCTCCTCCTCCTCCTCCTCCTCCTCCTCCTCCTCCTCCTCCTCCTCCTCCTCCTCCTCCTCCTCCTCCTCCTCCTCCTCCTCCTCCTCCTCCTCCTCCCCCTCCCCTCCCCCGCGGTGCGGGCGGCGGCTGCTGGGGGCGGCGCGCCGCAGTGGGCCGGCCAGCGTGGGCAGGAGCATCGGGAGGCGTGCCGCGTCGCGCGCGGGGCCCCTGTTCGCTCGCCCGCGCGGGGGGCCTGCGAAGCGGGAACGGGGATGCGATGCGGCGCGTCGGCGCAGCACCGCCGCTGCCGTAGGCTTTGGCACGATGTCGAACCCCACCTGCACCGCGGAGATGTATTGTGCAGGTCGGCACCTTCTGTCGCTGCAGGATCGTCGAGAACGATGGGGGCGAGGATCGAGAGGACGAGGAGGAGCAGCAGGACGGACACGAAATTAAGCGAGGGAGGGGGAAGAAGGGGGCCTGCGAAGCGGGGATGGGATGGGGAAATGGGGATGGGGAAATGGGGATGGGGAGCGGGAGGTCTCGGCCCACACGTTCCAGGGAGGGCTCTGGCAGAATCTCACCTATACCCGAAAGCGTGCTCCTGGTCCTGGCCTCACCTGCCCTTCTGCTTGCCCACTGCTCGACACTCTCGAGGGAGTGGAGGGGAAGCGGAGGCGACTTGGAGGAAAGGAGGGGGGATGGGACGCGCGGGGAGTCAAGGGGAAGGGGGAGAGGGGGGAGGGAAGGAGCGAGAGAGGAATGGAGGGAGGGAGGAGAGGAGAGAAAGGTGGAGGGCAAGATAGGTGCGCTCGCGCTATACCTGACATGAACGATTTGTTTACACGGCGTTTCGACATTGAGCGGAAGGGAGGGGGAGAGAGGGGAGGGCTCCGGACATCAGCTTAGTACGACCATTTGGAACAGTGCTCACAGGGGGAATCCTATGGGGAGCCGTCCACCTGCTTGAAACAGGCGCCCAAAACAGACAAGATCTACTCCAGAGGGGGGGGAAAGGGGGTGCGAGGGCCCGCGCCGATCGGCAAAACACGACGACCACCTATCCCTTCCCACTGCGCTGCTTCGGCACGATCCGCCGACGCGTGTCATGGCGGACCTGGAACTCAAAGAGGACCCCATCTTGTATGTGCAATCGGGCAACAAGGCAACACGGAGCTGCGTACACAGGAGGAGGAGGAGGAGGTAGATAAAAAGCAGGAGGATGAGGACGAACATCAGCAGCATGAGCTGGAGACGAAGGAGCGAGAGGAGCAGGAGGACCAGGAAAGGCGGAGGAGGGGAAATGAGAGGGGCCAACAACGGCAAGAAAGGACTCGGATCTAGAACAGTGGCCCCATCGCTTTAGCGAGAACGCCGATTGGAACAACGGGAGCAACGCGCCGATCGGAAGAAAAGGAGGTCCACGCGGCAGCGGGAGCACCACTTTGAAACACTGAAAACAATCGGACACTAAAAAAACACAGCAAGAGAAGCACGAATCAATTAGCCTTTGTACAAAGGAAAACGTTCGCAGAGAGGGCCGCATATCTTTTGGGCAAACTCAGGGGAGAAGGGAGAGTAGTACGCGTAACGTGTACTTGTGGAGGAGAGGGGGAAGCGGAGGGAAGGAGAAGGAAGAAGGAACTCGGCAGGGATAGAATGAGTGAAGGAGGGAAGAGAAGGCGAGGGATACTGATTAAGGGGAGATGGAATGTCGGGGGAGGCGCAGCAGGGTTTCTGGCAAAGCATGCATTATTGCCTGAGCTTTCCTGACGTTAAGTGCAATGGCATGCTGATGCATGATGGATTGCCAACTGTGTAGGAAGACGAATACGTGATGGAGAGATGAGGAGGAGGAGGAGGAGGAGGAGGAGGAGGAGGAGGAGGAGGAGGAGGAGGAGGAGGAGGATGGGCCGTCTGCACAAGCGCGCCAGAGGCCGTCTCCTGACCCCAATGCCCTCTGGCACGCAGCATCGCGCCCGCGCGCGCTCGCGCAACCGCGCGCACGCGCGCGACGCAAGCGGCACCTTTCAGCACCCCCCGCAGGTCGTGAGGCACGCCTCGGGCGGCCCGGCTGGAACGGCGAGGCAGGCAGGAAGACGCCTCTGGGCAGCCGAGTGGGCAGAGGGAGGGCCAAGAGAAGAACGGAACTACGCAACAGCAGCGGCAGCCACCCAAGGTTCCCCAGCAGCGGCCTTTCCTCCTAATGCAGCAGCGGCCTCTCCTCCTTCCACGCACTGGCCTCCTTTCCCGATCACTGTTCCCGCGCCCCATGCCTTCAGGAAAGCCGGCGCCGTCTCGGAGGAGATCTCATCCTTCAGCCACCCGTGCCAACCTGGGAGGGAAGGAACGAAGGAAGGATGGAGGGAGGGAAGAAACCCAGCTAAATAAGGCAAGCAATTGAAAAGGTCGTCTGCTACCCATGGCCTCTTGGGGCGAAGGCCTTTGCCGAGCTGCTTCCAATCCTCGCTGGAGTGTGGAGCAGCCAGCGAATTGATGCACACAAACGGTTCGTCACTGCACCCAATTACAGTGCCCAGGAAATCGCAGTGCAGCAGGCTGCAAAGAAAATTATTGAGCATCGTCCGAAAGAGACGAGGGGGGGAGGACGGAGGGAGGAAGGAAGGGAACAGAGTGGAACGAGGGGAAGGCAGGGGAGGGGTGGGAGCATCGGAAGAGGGATAAATGGAGAGGGATGAAGGTGGGAAGGGAGCGTGAGGATTCATGGGGTGCACTGCGCGGCTCGTCCGAATTCTCGCCCGAAGGCGAGACAGCGCGGGAACGACACCACACTTACGCTAAGCGGCCTCTGCCGCGAAAGTCCGTTCCAGGCGTTCGCGCGCTGCTGCGGCTTCCCGCCGCAACAACACCCTCGGGCCCCGCCTCCCGAATGACCTGCTCTGAACGCCCGCATGCCGCCCACAAGCAGCACCACAGCCGGCCCAAGAAGCGCGGAGGGGGTCAGCGGACGAGGCGCACCACACAGGTGAGCGCCCTACCGGGTGGAACGCCCGCTCCAGGATGGCTGGAGACTTCGTGCCTACGCGACAAGAACCATGGGCGCACGAGGCTCTGTGCCGTTTCTGTGCAAGCGCCCCCCACAGCGGGAAACTCCACCTGCTGCAACCGCCAATCCACTAAAAGGAAGGAAATGCGAAGGGGGCGCATGATGTGAGCCGCGCGCAAACCGATTCATGCACATATCGATGACGCATATACACCAGCATATATGTGTATGCGAACGCGTGCATGCATGTGTATATATATATATATATGTATACAAGTATATCCGTGTGTATATATATGTACGTATGTATAAATGTGTGTTTGTGTGTGCAGTTCATGTGGAACGATATGGGTGGTACATTTTAAGTGATGCGTACTAAGCGTGAGAAACTCGAAGTTGCCATCTCAACTGCTCGCGAAACCATCTCACCCAACCGCATTTTGTTTGGCAAAACCCATGCAGCGGCGATTGCGATGTGTTGGTGGTAGCTGGTGTCTCCCACCGGCCGCGCGAGACCGCGCATGCGCGCGCGCACTGCAGCAAACAAGTTCGGCACGAACGACGCAGCCGCGGTGGCGCACTTCAATGCGAGTCGGTGGGTTGGGCGGGCGGGGTATCATGGCGACGTCAATAATGGTAGGCACGATGACGATCGTATACATAATGGCGGCACTGATGGAAATGACGACGGCAAGGCAAATGACGGCGCCGATGCTGGTCACGCCGATGGCCATGATCGTCTCCACGTGTCAGTAATGAAGGTTTGGGAGCAATTTCGCCATGCGCGCGCTGCCGACGCGCGCGAGTGGCCCGCATGGTCTTGTTTGCCTGGGATCACGCCCGCCTCCCCCGACGCGCGCAAAGACGATCGATGGATTTCGACATGCGCGCTCGACGGGCCCGTTTCTTCGAATGCGATGACAATGTTTTTTCCCCCAAGACTTCACACGGCGCGCGCGCAGACCTATCTCGGACAAGAAGGTGTTGCAAAACAATGGTGTTACATGTTTCTGGTGTTCTCGATGTTGAATTCCGCGCGACACCCAGGGCTCTTTTTTTCCACTTCCAGCATGCGAGCGCGACGACGCGCGCGCGTGCACTGCGGCCAGTTTGTTGCACGGGGATCCTACAAATTGATGATTTGCGATGAACGAGGACGCGCGCAAATCATGCTTTGCAAAGGCCGACGGGGAGGGGGGGGGGGCGTCGATGCCGGCTGGACCGGGATAGTGGGAATCCAAAGCAACGCTGAGCAATGGGGCATACTCATAAATGGGTAACTGCAATCCAGACAGGCGGGCGGAGATTCTGGGGGGGGTTAGATCCCACTTCCGACCCAGAGAGAATCTCCATCTGGAAATAGCCATACTATACATAGATCTATACAGGTGCGTAGATGCATATGTCTATATATTTATATATATAGATACAGACAGATGTGGTGCAATATGCGCGGTGCAGCTTTGAAGGTGCGATCTAATTCGTGCAACCTGTATCGTGCAATATATGGCGTGCGATCTATGTGACGACATCTAAGCGGCGAAGCCGCCCTGCCGAATTTGACATTGCCAACTCCACTGCCCGCGCAATCGCACCGCCTGCACACCCACAACGCGGTATGCAAAACCCACGCGGCGGCGATTGCGATGACTGCTCGGCGCTGGCTGGCGCGTCGCCACGGCCGCGCACGCGCGCGCTTGCGCGCGCATCGGCCAGCGAAGTTGGCGCGACCGACGCGGCCGCGGCGGCGATGACCGCTGGGGGGCCAGCGAGCGCTTCAGCGCAAGCCGGCCACGTGGGCGGGCGCAGTACCGCGGCAACGTCGACTTCCGTAAACGCGATGATGATAATGGCGATACTGGCGACGACGACGACGGCGCGGCCTGTGACAGCGCCGATGTCGGTCGCGCCGACGACGACGACGTCGTCCGAGCGTCGGCGATGAAGGTTGGAAAAGAGTTCGACATGCGCGCGCAGCCAACGAGCGCAAAAGCGGCCCGCGTGCTACGATGCGACAAAGATCGCGCCCCCCCAACCCGCCCCGCCCAACGCGCGCGCAAGTGCGTTCGATGGATTTCGACCTGCGGTGCGAGAAGTCCCTATTGGCAGAATTTCATGATCACGTTTCAAAATCTATGGTTCCCATGGGGATTCGCGGGGGCGCGAGCGCAAGCACCCGCGAGCACCGACGTCGCCAAACCAAAGGTTGCCATGCGCTTTCGGGGCACCCGACATCGAAAGCCTTACACAACTGTTAAGTTTTCGAATGATTGCCGCGCGCGCGCGAGACGACGCGCGCGAATGCACATCGCCCCGTTCGACGAGGGCGCCCGCGCGATTTCGGCGCGCGCGCGAGAGGCACGTTTGGCATCATTCGATGGGAATGTGCGAAGAACGCGCGGTTTCTCCAGCATCTGCAAGAGCGCGAGCGCAGGGCTTCCTGAAAACATATCAGCAGGACCCCCCGCGAAGCCGCCCGGCGGCAGGGCGAGGCGCGCCGCTCCCTGAGCCAGTTGCAAGATCACGCCTCAAACGTTGCAATCCTGCTCTCTGCCCCCCAATGCCAGCGGCTGAAGTCTGCGCGAGGGGGGCGGCAGACCGCCCCGTCGCCGCGCCCAGATTGCACTGTCTGACTTCCCAGATACATGACATTTGCGCCCCCGAGGTCATGAACCCTCGCAATTTAAATGATTCTCGCGCCCCCGATGCCACTGGCCATAGCAAACTACGCCACATTCGAATTGCCGAAGCCAAGAGCGCCCCAGGGCGCTCGAAGACGGTTCCAAGACGGCCCAGAGAGCCCCAGGAGGCTCCAAGAGCGCCCCCAGACGCCTTCCGAGAAAGCCTCGAGATTCCCAAATCGCGCATTCCATCGTAATATTGAAAAGATTCTGGCCCCCTGGTATCTTCGGCTTTCCGGCGCTCCGAGACGGCCCGAGAAGCTCCCGAGACCGTCCCAAGACGGCCCAAGAGGCCTCCGAGAGGGCCCCGCGACGGCCCGCGAGGGCTCCAAGATGACCCTAGAATCGCTCAAGACAGCCCAGGAGGACCCCAAGACGGCCCCAAGAGGGGCCCAAGCAGGGGGCCACAAACCGACAGTTTGATCTCTGCGCCCCGCGAAGCCCCCAGGAGGGGCCGAGCGGCCGCCAAAAAACCCAAAATGGCACCGGGACGCGCCCAAGATGCGCCCGGGAGGCCTCCAGGCGGCCTCAAAAATGCCCCGCTTAAAAATGCCCCGAGAGCCCGATGCGGCGCCCGAACCGCACCCAGGAAGCCCCAGGGAAAATCCCCGCGACGCCCCGACACATGCACAAGAGGACCCGGGCCCGCGACCCAGCCAGGCGCGGTGGCGGAGTGGGCCGAAGGCCACTAGGATAACGCCAACGTCTCAACATGCGCCGACGACTCCCCCCCGCCCCCGCGCGACGTTCCCGGGCCCGCCGACGCGGCGCCGAGGCGCGCCGGCTCGAATCTGACGCGCTCATTTGCGCAGGAGAGGGGGCCGTCGGCAGGGGGCGAGGCCCTCGCGGGCATAAGTTCCAATGAACGAGAGCGCGCGCAATGTCTGTCGCGCGGGGCGCGGCGGAAGGGGGCGGCCCAAGCGGGCAGCGCCGTTGGAAGAACGCCCCTTGCCAGCGCCAAACAGCAACTCAAAATACGCACCGAACTTCAATGCTGCATCGAGCGTGCCATGGCCATTTATCGCCTCGACCGCAGGTGGCCTTACCCCGGGGTCGCGGCTCGAATCGATCGCCAACCGCTAGAGCGCAAGACGAGCGTCGGACGACCGTGGCCAGCGCGCCCCAGGAGCCGAGCGGCTGAAACGCAAGCCCCCGGCATGTCCTGAGCGTTGGCGCGGAACTTGCAGCGGCGCAGAAAACGCATGCTTTCTTCTCCGTCCAATGCTAGCAAGCCGCGCCCCCCCTGCCTTCACCGCCCCCTTTGCTACTGGCACCCCCCTGACTGCCTCGCCCTCTGCCGGCGTCGGCACCAGCGGCAGAAGTTGCGCTGGTCACGCAAGCCGCGGCTGACGCAGCCTGTTCCTGAGCCCGTTCGCGCCCTTGTTTACTTGCTGTTTTCGCTGCTTCCCCCCGCCTGCCCAGCCTCGAAATCTCGTCGGGCGTCCACTTTCTACGCCGCCGACAGCAAGGCGCGCCGCCCCCTTGACCCCTGCGCGGCAAACCGACCCCCCCCCCCCATGCCGCTCTTCAGCGGGGCCCCCGGGCGAATCCCGGGAAACTCCGGGGCTGGGGGTGGTCGACCTATCTCTGAGACCTCCCCCCCTGCCATTTTACCCATTACTCGGACAGGTCTCATTCTCCCCATGC